TCACATTAAGAAATGCTGCGCTGTGTAAACTGTATGGTCATCGAAGCAACGTTAGAAAGATGGTAAATTTGTTTAACGTGTAACTTTGTTTACATTCGATTTCTGCCTACTCTTGACAGAGTCGTTCGCCTTCTCGTTTCAATCAGCTCAGAAAATGCTGTTTTGGAACTTCCTGGTCGTTGTTTTGCAAAAAGAGATTCAGTTGGAGGCTAAACACAGCGAGTTCATCATTGCTTCTCGACTGACCTCGTACCTCATCTTCTCCTAAACAAATACTGGCCGAATCAAAGCAAAACAACGCATGCATCGATACATCTTGAAGATAGTGCAAATGAGGGAAATCGAAGGACCACTGATGAGCATTCAGGGATGATGGGAAACCTGATCTAAAGGCTCTTCTTCAATCGATCGTCTTCTCCGTTCAACTTTACAACTCACTGACAGTTGCAGCTACGATGCACTTCAATTATCTTCACAACAAAATAGAAATTATGGCCAATTAGCGTGAAGAATATTGATTGTAATTAATTTATCGCACGTGCAGTCTTCAAAGATTTCTGCCACTGCACATTAGAGAGATCATTACAACGAAGTGTGTACTCCTCAGCCTAGACTATCGACGGGAGAAACAGTGTCTAGTCGCCATGAAGCTTGGAGCCGTGCTCTCAGCTAATGATGTATCAGTAATTGATAACCTACAGTATTCACGCTTTAAGACACCTGTAAAGTATACTCCGACTTTAAACTGAGGAAAGAAAAAATGGAAAGGGCCCAAAAACTGTTATACGACATGGTCAGCGGACCCCTTGATTCATCTTATAGAGATATTGTGACGGTATGATAACCGAATGCGGCATATGACATGTCTTTATTGCTCTTGTGTTACTCGTTTTACTAAGTATATTGATCTTTATCCCCATCCTTACCTACGGTCATGAATCGTGGACCATGAATGAAAAACTTCCAACCTGGGTACAAGCTGTTGAAATAGGCTTTCTTAGACGAGTCGCTGGCCTTACGCATCTCGACATGGTCCGGAACAGTGACATCCGGAAGAACCTTGGATTACAGCCTTTGTTTCTCCAGATGGAGAAGTCACAGCTGTGATGGTTCAGGCATGTATTGTTAATGGCTCCTCAAAGCCAATCGACCGGCAGAAGGTCCAGGGGACGGCCAAGATTAACCCGGTGCAAATATATGGAAGATGTCTGTTCCAGACTCCGTTTGTCTTTTGCCGAAACTCAAACTCTGGCACAGGATCAGGAACGTTGGAAGCTCTGTCTGAAGTGTCTGTCTCTGCGACCCGGAAAGAGAAGCGGCGATGGAAGATGAAGATGAAGAAGATAAGTACATTGAAAAACCTCAACCTGGACTACCGCCCCTAAGATTGTGAAATCATAAGTGCTGAACTGTCTCAGCTTAAAAACATGGCAATCACCCTATAGCAATGTTCTCACAAGAAAATCGGTTAGTACCGCCATGTGGCTGAATACCACTGGATGAAAACTAGTGTGTGTAAAATCTGCCTTCTCGCCTTTCCAGTTGCAGTGTTCCAGTGCTTGCATGCGAGCATAATGGGTC